TGACTGACTGGGGCTTTGTCAGCTCAAGTCATTGGTGAGTCTTCATTTCTATAATAATTGTTTTCTTTCATGTATTGTGAGTAGTTTCAGTACAGTTTAATTCAATCATGTAGTTTTTAAGTTTGTTTAGTTTACAATGTAAACTTTGATTCTGGTCAAGATTAGTCTTGTTTCCAAACTTTCGAATTGTTCCATTTGCCCAACTTATTTATCATGACAGATTCATTACTGCTTTTACTTTTAATTATAGACAGGCAAAGACCATGCATATGATCTATAGTTTTCTTCTGAATTTTACAGACAATCTACAACAGAGGATTAGAAAATTAGGATGGATGGATTGCAACCGCGATTCATTCCTCTGGAATACTGACGTTGATCCAACGTTCCACGTTGGATCAACGTCTGTATTCCAGAGGAATTCCAGCTTTCAAATCCGACGTCTTTTCAACGTAGATCCAGCGTTGGTACATGACGTTGTATCACATTGATACAATGGTGTTGTGCCCACTGGGTGGCGAAGGGTGGTGCATTCATTATCACTGCTCCGGCACTGTCCCTGCCGCTTAGTGATAGTAGTGGTCTCCTTGACGCTGAGGCGACGGCTCCGGCATTTAAGAACCCTGTCCCGACACTTCGTCCATTGTCGGCTGACTGGCCGGAAGGTACTGGGGTCCATTGAAGGAGGGCCTACTGCACCAGCATTCACGATCCCTGTCCTCACCTTCTCCGACATCGACTGACTGGCTCGATGGCACTGTAGCCGAGGGTGGGCCCACTGCACTCTTACTCGTTCCCACCAATTTCGTGCTGGTAACGAGTGTACGTCTGTTCACCCTCTCCCCCAAGTCATGCTGCGAGATCCTCGGCGATATTTTTGACTGTTGGCCCGGTGATCGTCTAACCCGCTTGGTGACTGGATGGACCGTCAATTTTTCTTGGTCTGCCTTGCTTGCCCATTATTATAATCCGTAGATTGCAAACGGACTTTTTGCTCAACAAGTGAAGCAACTAGTAACTGCTGGAAATGTACGTATATCCTGTAGCTTGTAAAGCCTGGGATGTCTCCACTGACTGACTCAAGCAAAGCTAGACCATAACTGAAACAGTTTGCATTCGAGCTAAAACGAAAGCGCGCTCTGCAGCCCCAATTCTGGTAATTTATGCACTTCCGACCACGCGGCTGAATTTTGATATCAGAGTTTTACCTCTGTGATAGCGCTGTAACTTTTCATAAGTTGTCTGCCCCTGAGGGTGCAGACTAACTTTTCGTTGCTCTACCCTTAACTTTGAATTTTTTTACATATTTCTCCTCATTGCTATTTGCAGCATTCCGCATTTAATTAGAGAGGTATTGAGTCTTTTCGTTGCTCTGCCCTTGACTTTGAAAATTTGTACATATTTCACCTCATTGCATTAACAGCATTCCAATGTTTCCCCCTCTGAATTCTAACATGACTAAAGCTCCAAAAATCTAAATTGTAAAGGAAATCAGTTCTTGAACTCAACTATAACTCCATATGATTATCAAGGAACGCCGCCATCTTAGAAAGTTGCAAATCTACATTTTATGCGAGAATTTCTGAACAATCACGAACTTGAGGAAGCTTT